CACTGACTGAGCTGCGTGTACAACCAACGCCCACACTTCCTTTCATACATAGTTTATTTAATTTGAGATACTAAGACACTACATATTAGGACTGCAATGATCTGATTATATACTGTCACATATCATACAGTTTTGCAAGAACACAGTTACAACATTCAACTTTATTGTGATTATAGTATAATCAGTGTTAGGGTTCAACTATGACTACAATATAGAAGATTCTACCAGTACAGGCAGTGGTGTAAGTGTGGTATAAATAATGAATGCATATGACTAAATATGAATACACTATGGGCCAGGTATGAGCAGTATAGACTAGTAAATATATAAATAGTAAAAGTCAAATACATATTAAGTAATGTAGTAAGAATGTGCAAGTATGTTACACTACAAATAAAAGTAATATGAATGTAAGGCTGCTTCACGTGCAGACAGAATATAGTGCCAGCAGCTGCACAGCTGTAAATATATTCAACATCAAACATCTGGCTCGAGTGTAACACCACTAATGCCCTCATCTGATGAGTAAAGGAAAGTCCCTAATAAGAATCGCTGGTTCTTAACGTTCATAACCAGATTAACAACAATAAATAACAGTTGTAAATAGAAGACACTATGGATCGTCACGACTGATGAACCCGAGAATGATGATTGTGTTGTTGTTGTTAAACAGCATTCCGCCCTCGTGTCGTTAGCTGAAGGCACAGTGAATTTAACGTCCCCCCTGCAGACAGCAGCCCGCTTCACACACAATACGTTGTCTTTCTGTTAGAGTTTACCAACTTAGCAGACAACTCACCTTTTACCCACAGCCGAGATGAGCCTCCTCCTGCCCTAAAACGTTGTTATGCCCCACGTGAACTAAATCGTGTTTACCGAAATATGTCCGAGTGGAAACTTGTCTATGAGCACAAACGTGTTCTTCTTCTTCTTCTTCTCTGGGGTTTAACGGTAGCTTGCATCCTTAGCGTTGCATTACCGCCATCTTCTGGAGTTATTTGACTCCTATATTATCCAGTGTCTCATATCTTCCGTATCAGTCCAGTTCTTTTTAGAAAGCATATCAAACACTTTCTGCCTTTCCCAGTCTCACCACACGCCAGTATGTCCTTTAAGCTTGATCATGTGAGTCCTTCTCTCCTCATCTCCTCCAGCATTTCTTTCCGTTCCTGTCTGTATTTGTTGCAGTTCGTAATCACATGTTCCACTGTTTATGGTGTCTGACAACAGTCACATAATCCATTTACATGTTTCCCGATAATGTGAAGTGTCCCATTCAGGTTACTATGTCCAATTCTCAGCCTTGTCATCACTGTCTCCTCTCTCCTGTTTCCTCCTCTGCTTCTCCCAGCGCCCACTCTCTTCTGTAGTGCATATAGGCCTAGATGTCTCCCTCTCACCTCCTGCTCCCAGTGCTGCTGCCATTTTTCATTTGTTTTCTTCCATACTGTGCCCTTTCCTTCCAGTTTTGATAACTTGATCATGATATCTATATTTTCTTTTTTTAACTGCTTGCTTGGTTATAAGATCAACTTTCTCATTTTCTCATGTCACAAAAACGACCCCTTAATATTTGTTATGATTTCCAAAAACTTAGTTAACATTTCTCACCTGTGTGCTGGATGTATGGGCTCCAGCAGATTGACCCGACCGACCGGACGCCATCATCGCAAGCGAAGTGGACACTACGCTGCGTTCACAGTGCTATGTGGAAATCAGACATATCAGCACTTAAAATGTGGCTGTTGAACTGCAAAATCTGGCATAATTTATCGCTCTTATACCGCAATTGGTGCTCAGTACTGTCTAAAACAGATTTCTACATGGAAGTTTGTCACTGGCATCAATTTTTACACTGCCAGTCACATGAATATGGTGTATATAAGTGTGGAGTCAAAATTTTTTAGTTCCTACGTTCCCTGAAGGCACTGTCACTCATGATTCCACACCCCTCTCAGTTGATGCCACGCCCCCCACGCCACATCAGGGTCAAAAGTCTGAAACTCAAAAAACAGATTTGAAACTGAAAAAAAATCTGAAAAGATAAAACATGCAACTGAAAAAATAAGACCTCAAATGTTAAAATGTATATGGAAGTGAAAAGTGAAAATAAATTATTCATTCAAAAGAATTACCAAAGTGAATCAAAATTATATTTAACCTGAAAAAACGTTTCATATACTTATTTTTATTTTGAATACATTGTTGAATTTTGAAAAATACAACAATGTATTCAAAATAAAAATAAGAAAAGCTGAAGAAAAACTTATCACAAGAGAATATTATAGAATATCAAAGAAAAAGGGCAGTGGCTCGAATATGGATCTACATTAGGGTCAAAAGTTTTGTACTTGAAAAAATAAAATTTGAAACTGAAAATTCATGTGTTGAATTTTCAGTTTCAAATTTTATTTTTTCTCTCTGAATGCTCTGTTTTGTTCTTTCATCGCTCTACTGCATTCCTTGTTCCACCACAGCACCACTTTCTTCCTACCCTGTGTTGTTCTTTTTGGTATACTCAGGTTTGCTGCATTTATTATGTTCTGTAATTTGATTCATGAACTCCTCTATGCCTCCTTCTAGAGTTATCAAATGTGCTGACTCTTCACAACGTAACCTAAATTCTTGCCAATTTGCCTTATCAAAGCACCACCTGGTAAATGTATTCCCTTCTTGTAGACATACACTTGTGTTTACAATAGTAAGCACCAGGAAATGATCACTTCCTACAGTTGAATCAGTCTTGACATACCACTCACAGGTATTCACAATCTGTCTGACACCATTGTAAGATCCAAGCATGACATCGTACCCCTGTTCACGTCAACTCTCGTACCTTTTCCATTGTTAAGGCAGACTAGTGACCTTTCATCCATCATTTCTTCCGCTACATTCCCATTTCTGTCTGTGTGCGTGCTACCCCACAAGCTGCTGTGTGCTTTAATTTCCCAACACCATATTTCTTTCCTAGATACATTCCCTGCCATTTCCTGGAACATTTCAGCAGTTAAATTTCTACATGGATTATAAAAATTAATTAGTTTAATATTTCCCTCGTTCCTTGGGCTGCAAATTTCAACAACAGTACATTCCATATCTTCAGGGGAGGGGATCTCCCTGTCGGCCAAGCCATCTATGAGAAAAGTAGCACACCCTCCACCATTTTGGTTGTTATTTCTGTCATGTCTTATAGAACTGAACCCTGGAATCACAAAATTTAACTGAGGTCGTAGCCAAGTTTCTTGTACACATATTACATCTGGAATTATATCAAATTCATGTATATACTTTTTAAATTCTTGTCCATTGGCTATGAGGCTTCTTGCATTCCAAGTACCATTAGCAATATGCTAACCCTCCACATGAGCATTATCTGCAACTTCAGTTTCCATTAGTAGTGCATGTATCTGGTCTGCTTTCACATCTCTCATATCAAGGAATCTTTCTGCTGCTTCCACAATGGTCTTGATCCTGTCACTTTTCTTTTTCAGCTGTGATGCAACATTAATAGTGTGGCAGATGAAGACCACAAAGTTCACTTTGTTCACAACTAGTGTCTCATCATTAACATTGCATTTATGATTGCAACATATTTGTGTAGTCACAGGGGTTTGTGTTCGGGCCTGATCATCTGGTGCTTTACTGTCACTCTGTACTGCATGTCTTTGTGCCATTTCACTACAGTTCCTGTTGTTTGTTTCTGCCCCCCTAACTTTCTTCAGTGCTTCTGCATATGAGACTTTATCCACTATTTTAGCTCTCTGGGCCTCTCTGGCTTCCCTCTGCAATACACATCCTCCATAGGCAGCGCTGCGCTCTCCTCCACAGTTACAGCATTGCACCTTAGCGTCTTTGTCACATTTCCCGTACTCATGTTGTCCTCCACATCATGCACACCTTAGCTTTCCTTTACACTGTTGTGCCGTGTGCCCCATTCTCTGGCATGCATAACACCTGAGTGGCTTTGGTATGAATTCCCTCACAGTGTAGTTCATATATCCCATTTTCACTGAATCTGGGAGAGTTTTCTCAAACTGGAGTACTACTGTCAGTGTTTCCTTCAGTGTGCCATCCCTTTTACTTTTAAGCCTTGTGGCATCGATCCCTTTTTCTCCTTGTATCTCATTTTTAACATCTTCCATTGACATGCTTAGTGGGACTCCTGAGATTACCCCTCTTAAGGCCCTGACCCATCGGGTCCATGTCATTGGTTCGACAGCCCATTGGTTCGACATCCCATTAGTCTGACTGTCCGCGGTGCTGAACGGCTCACGGCGGACGTATGGTGTGCCACGACCGGCTTGAGGCGGAGCAGGCTCACGGCTTATGAGTTTGTCACTTTCTTTTTCATTTTAACCCACACCATGATCTTTTCCTGACTCTAACCAAGTGTTTTTTGTGCCTAAACCTAACCAGACCTTAACCACAGGGCATCATGATGATTTCAGAACGGACTTCGGAACAATGAGTTTAATATGGTCGGAACAATGGGATGTCGAACCAATGGGCTGTCGAACCAATGGGCAGTTCTCGACCCACCAAGCCGACGGCAAAAGAACTAGCGGCGATGAAGCCGACGAAGCCGACTGTTCCGTCGTCTACGTCGCCTCACGTTGCCCTGTGTCAGTACATTTGAGCACACTGCACAGGCCAACCAGCCAACGGCCAGTTCTGCGCATGCATGAGAGGAAATAACTGGAAATAACCGGAAGTCCAACGAATGCATGAAATATAAACAAAGAAGCTAGCGGTTGCTTAGCATTTTCACGCCACTCTCGCTCGCCACAGATGGTTTCGTGTAGCTGATAAAATGTCTGATAAGTTGCAAATGGCACTGGCATTGTCAGCCCTTGGTCTTTTGCTTGTGGAAGAAGAGAGGAAGACGCAGAGAGGAAAAATGAGAAACCGCACAAAATGGGTGAAATCATGGATACTGCAGCAACAGGCTCAAGGGGCTTTCCCAAACCTGTGTCGAGAGCTGGAGACAAATGAAACCTCCGATTTTAAAAATTTCACTCGGCTCTGTCCTGTCCAGTTTCACGTGTTGAAGGAACTTGTCAGTCCGATCATCCAGAGGCAGAACACTAACTACCGGGATGGTATCTCCGTTGGGAAGCGGCTGATGATTATACTGCGCTTCTTGGCAACAATTATGCAAGCTAAAGGTGTCACTATATTAACAGTATATAGGCTATATATACATACATATATAGATATAGATAGATAGATATGGCAGTCAGTTTGTCTGATTTATGTTTGTCTCATACAACTTGCAAATTTTCCGGGATGCACATTTCCATGATATAAAAACACTGACGTAAATAAAATCCCTGAAATTGGGTGAGAATGATTGTCAAAATAATATATGCACCTTGCACTTTATATAAGTATACTGCACTTCACAAATAGTAAAATATTTACTTATTATTACTAGAAATATAATGTAGTTGATGATTTACAATTTCAAAATGTGTTTCATCTGTGTACACCAGATATGAATAGTTCTGGATGAATAAATAATTCTTGTTGTGGTACTCCAAGCCCTTTCAGTATCAGTATTTGAAACTGTGGCTGTATTTAATCAGAAACAAATCATTCAAAACTGTCTTTCAATCTTTGTTTGTATGTTTAAATATCTAAAGCCATACACAAGTTGTGTAGAATAATTACTGTATGGGTGTAGGGACAGCTGTGAATGCTCTTGACTGTGGAGGTACATAACTGGTCTGGACAGTCTTTTTGGTATGTAAAAACACTACATTATCCTAGCCAGACAGTATTGTGTGACGTTAATGCATGGAATGGTGGTATTCAAGTCCTTTCAGTAGCAGTACTTGAAATGCTGAAAGTATTTAATCCATGACAATACATACACAACTGGTTTTCAGAGCTTTCTTTGTATGTTCAAATTCGTAAAGCCAGACACAGGGCGTGTAGGGCGGTTACTGAACGGGCGTAGACACAAGTGTGAATGATCTTGACTGTGGAAATGTAAATATTATGGGGTTCCTTTTAGTATGTAAAGACAGCACATTAATTAGCCGAGGTAAACAGTATTGTGTGACGTAAATGGATGGATTGGTGGTATTTCAAGCCCTTTCAGTAGCAGTACTTGAAACTGTGACTGTATTTAATCCATACAATACATACACAACTGTTTTTTATGCTTTCTGTGCAAATAATTCACACTGTAACAGATAACTGAGTTATGTGCTTTTTACTTTTACTTTTACTTTTTGTGAATAATACAGTTTATTTTAACGGTAACACTACATAATACAGCCCGCGACTTAGAGCGTACCTACCGCTCACTTAGAGCGTACCTACCGCTCACATTGCACCTAATTTAACAGAAGTACTGAGTAACCCTCACTCACTCCCCCCCCCCCATTTCCCTCATGTTTTACAGTATAACTAGGCTGCTTCTTAGCGCGTAACTCCCGTTGACTTATGTCCTACTTTACACCAACTTCCACAGAAGTACAGAGTAACTCTTGCTCACTTCCCCCACTATTTCCCCCGTGTTTTACAGTATAACTAGGCTGCGTCTGAGAGCGTAACTCCCGTACAATTA